GGGGGGGTGCGGGGGGGGGGGGGGGACGGGCACCAGCTGCTCTTCCCACCACTCGGCAAACGCGTCTGCGGTGGAGCCGGCCATCACACCCATATTCAGCTCGAGCTCGACACCCACTTCGTGCGGGTCCTGCGGCAGGGGCAGCAAGTGACGACGGGGCGAAGGGGATTTGCGGAGAAAGCAGCTGGAGAAAGGCAACCTCGGGCCCTCGGGCGCAGAACGCAGGGGGCGGGGGGCGAAGAGGGGGGTGGCGGCGGCGGTCGGGGTGGGGCGCGGACAAGGGGCGCGGGCAAGTGGGGGCGAGGCCGCTCGGCGGCCAGCCCGCAGCGAGGGTTGGGTAAAGCGCGCGCGGTGCGATCGCCGTCACGCCGTATGTGCCGGGGAGGGCACGCCTGCTCGCAAGCGGTGTTGGGCAAGAGGAGGTGGAACGGCGAAGCCGCCCCGAGATCGACCGCCGCGACGGTTGCCACCAGCAGAGGCCAGAGAAGGCCGCGGCCCCTGGGATGCCCCATCGAGCTGAGCTCTCCAAAAGCGGCGGCGATCGGCGCATGGGTTTCTTTTTTGTCTTGTTGCTTCGAGGATCGGGCAGTCGCTGCCCGAGAGGCCGACACGCTCCATCAACATCAGCCGGCGGCGCGCAAGTCCAAGTCCAAGTCTAAATTTTGAGGCACAACTTGAAGAAGAGTGGGCACAACGCTTGACCCACACAGTCTCCACAACGCACAAGGATCAAGTAGAAGGTTCGCACCGCACGCGCCTGCCGCACGCGCCAAAAAGCTAAAAGGCGCACCACAGCCGCCCGCACCACTAGCGACTAGGCGCGGAGTCCGGCCGAGAGGAGGAGTGTCGGACGGGAGAGTAGAGTGTGTTTCACTAAGCCCCGGCAGCCCGGAGCCCGCCGGCGCACAGCCCGCCGCGTTTTTCGTTCACAGACCTTGTTATTTTGAGAAGGAAATACGTCCTATACCTATCTCCTATATGGCGCTGCGCGCTGTGTGGTCTATGAGAGGTTGAGGTGCGAGCCCTGGAGGCCCTGGGAATGGGGGGAGACTACCCACAGGCCTAGAAGGCCCGCGCGCAGGGTTTGAACATTCACACCCCATGCATAGATGCAAGCATTTTCACTCCACGTCCACCTCCGACAGTCTAGTCTCGTCGACGCTCCATATGGCATACGCGGTGCTCGCGGCGGCCGCCGCGGCGGAGAGGAGCAGGAGCGTCCGCCACCACGAGGCGGGAGCGCGTCTGGCGGCGGCAGGGGCGGGAGCGCCAGCCTGCGCGCCCAAGTCCCTACTCGATGACGCGGACAGGCGCGGCGGCTGACTCGAGCGGCCCAGCTCACGCATCGCATCCTTTGCGTACATGCGCTCCAGGTAGCGCGCGCGCTCGGCGCCGCCGCTCTCGATGCGTGCAAAGGTTAGGGCGGGGTCGGCGCCGCCCGAGGCGCAGATCGCTGCGGCCGTGTTGAGCGCCGAGCTGGTGAGCAGCCACAGGTGGTGCTCAGGCGTGATTGGTGGCGCTCCGCCCGCCGCGCCCTCCCTCCGCTCAGCCGCGCCCGCCGCATGGCGCGCGAGCCGCGCGAGCGCCTCGACGCCTCGCTGGCTCGCGGCGAACGGCCGCTGTCTCACAAAGTCGACGATGGCGTCCGCGCAGCTCGTGTTGTCAGGGTTGAGGCTCGAGCCGCTGTGCTGCACCTGTATGAAGTCGAGAAGGTCGACGAGCTCCGCCTCCGCGGTGTCGGGCAGCGCCTGCTCGAGGATCTGGAGCAGCCGCTGTTCCACCATGAGGAGGTTCTCGAGGTTCTCGAGGTGGATATCCTATCCTTTGGCGATCTTTGGCGCGAGGATGAGGAAAGCAGGTGAAAAGAATTTTACTAGCCGGTTGTCTGTTTTCTTTCTTTCTGCAGGAGGCGGCGTCGCAGGACGAGGCAGAAGAGAATGACGCGACAGAGGAGGAAGTGACAAGGGAGAGACCGACGAGAGTGGGACGGCCGCGAGGTGGCATGAAGGTTGCAGCGAGAAGCGGCGAGAGACTGCGAAAAGAGATACGAAGAGGCAGACTCCCCAGGGTGGGCGACGGCTAGCGCACCACACTCCTCTCCTTAAAATCCCTGTGTGGTGGCGGCGTGCCGTTCTCCCATCCCTCCCTTGGGTGTGTTTTCTTTCTTTCTTTCTTTTCTTTCTTTCCCAGCAGGCGAAACGAATTTTACATGTACAACAAAAAGGCGAAAAGAATTCCGGGAAACCAAGTATGAAGGTTGCAGCGAGAATCGGCGAGAGACTGCGAAGAGAGATAGGAAGAGGCGGACGCCCAAGGGTGGGCGACGGCTAGCGCATCACACCCCTCTACTTAAAATCCCTGTGTGGTGGCGGCGTGGGACGCGGCGTGCCGTCCTCCCATCCCTCCCTTGGGTTGTCTGTTTTCTTTCTTTTGCTCTCTGTTTCTACCTCAGAACGACGACGGGAGAAAGCGCGGACGTAAAGTTCACGAAATAAATCGGGCCAGGTGGTCTGTCTGCAAACCCGCCCCACTTATATCAACAAAACAATTCTCATTTTCAGTGTATGTAGCTCTTACGTACATTCCCGTAGGAGGACATTTGAGAGAGAGAGAGACAGTTGTAGCCCCCCGCTACCCAGTCGCAGTCGTGCGACGTAGCGGGGGGCCACGACTACGTTTACGAAAACATAAGTAGTCCCGCGAGGTGTGAATTGGCCGCCCCAGTAGTCCTCTTTCCAGACCGACGCCCGTCCGCTCGACTGGCCGATGAAGAGCGACCCGTACGACGCGCACTTGTCGTCCTCCCTCCTCGCCACATGACGGCCGCCCTCCGACACCGACAGTCGCGCTCCGCACGCCTTCGAGGTCAGCTGCGGCCGAGCGACGATCGGCTCGCTCCGATCGCTGGGCGCGGTCACTCTCCGGCCCATCACCCGCCTGCCGATCACCTGTCCGCCTCGCCGCGCGCGGGCCGCTCGCCTGCTCGCCACCGCCGCCGCGCGTCCCCGCGCCGCCACGCTTCCCTGTGCACCTGACCGCGCTCGAGCTGCGCACAGACGGCGCGCTCTGGCAGACAGAGCAGCGGCCGCCCAGGCGGTCGCTGCTCCGCCCCGTCCGTTCGTAAAACAAAAGGCGGATGGAGGCTGAGCACGAACGCTGAGGGAGGGTGTAGAGGATGTAGAGTGTAGAGCGCTGTAGAGCTGTAGAGATGTAGAGCGCTGTAGAGCTGTAGAGCTCTACATCCGCCGCGTGACGAGGCGCCTGCGTTGTAGAGCGATGTAGAGCGCGATTTTGTTGTAGAGTTTGTTGTAGAGGCTCTACAGCCAAACCGCCGGGATGCGGGAAGGCAGTGACTCAAAGAGGTCGAGTCGCACTAATGGGGTGTCTCCGAGCTTACTGGAGCTCTGGTGGACGGCCCTGACTATCCCTGACACACAGATAGTCACTCTGACGGCACACAACACCCTATAACTGCGTCATGACCAGCCTGCCATGCGTCGCCGGTGCCGCATTCATCGCAGTGCTTCTTTAGCAGGCGGTGGACTGTCGGCTGCGAGGACGGTCGCATTTGCGCGAGGCGAGGCGAGCATTCAGGCGCGTTGCATGCGCCATGCCTCGCGCCAGCGCGTGCGGGAGCTCCTGGCTGAGCGTTGAGTCCAGGCGAGTTGCGCTGGCCACGATCGCTGCGCCAAGCCGAGCTGACGCGCCGCGAGCCGAGAGGAGCCGAGGCGCCGGCCAGTCGCAGCACTGGCAAGTGCAACGCGCCTCATGTCGGGGAGCGACCGTGCCTCGTTCGCCGCTTATGATGTAGAGTTTGTTGTTAGTATGATAGTGGTGTGACAGTTTGGTCGGAGGGCGCCCGGGTCGCCCCGGAGCGTCCCCGCGCGGGGAGGTGGGTGGAGGGCGGGCACCACGCCATCGGGCAGGCCACGCGGGGACGCAGCCGGGGCCAGCGCGCGGCGCTAGAGGGCCGGGCGCAAACTTGTGGCACCTCCACCTGCACCGGCACCGGCACCTGGGTGCAGCGAGTTTTGGTGGTTCGAAAAGCGGAGCGCGCAGTCCGTTGTGGCTCAAAACGCGATGCCTCCGCCGGAGACACGGATGGCGCCGTCAGGAGCGACGAGGCTGGCGAGGCGCCGCATTCGGGCGTCGTCCTGCCGGCGACTAGCGATCTGAGCAGTACATTGAGGCCGTTGGTGGAGAGAGAGCGTCGCGAGCGAGGTGACGAGGATGGAGCTGTGGGTGTAGCCGGTCGAGGCATGGCCGCGTCGTCCACGACGAGGCGTCGGAGCAGGGCGAGACGTCGAAGAGCCGTGACGGTGATTCTCGGGCCGAGGCCGATGTCTTATAGGGAGGAGGCGACTTGTCAGCGCCTTCGCAACGCGGTTCAATTGTGGACGAAGACGTACACGGAGATGGGATGGTGCGACGACAACACGACATGCGGGACAAGCTACGATTGCACATGCTGCTGCATGCTACATGTTCGCACCGCGAGGTCGAACCGAGGTTTATACGGGTGTGGCTCCAGGGCCCGGTGCTCCAGGATGCAGCGGCTGCGAACCGGCGCAGGTGTGTCCGCAATGCGCTCACTAACGTGGCTCAGCAGGAGCATGAGGACGGCAACCACGCACGAATGTCTGTGCTGTACGCGCGAGCGATGCTGTCCTATCATTACACACTGGCTGCGATCGGGAAGCACATGCATAACCTAGAAGACGGAGAGCAGAGTACAAATTCGGATCTTGATGAGGCGGGGCAGATCTTGGTTGCCGCTGAGGATCTGCTTTCCCAGCTGGAATCAGTGAAGCAGATGTGGTAAAATGCCGGTTTCCAAGGCAACTTTGCGGAGAAGAGTGTGCGTGACGCCTTTGCGGATCGGACTAGTAGTGTGCTTGCCCAGCTGGCAGTGATGTCACTGCACACGTTGCAGAACCACTTGCAAAATACGACTGCCGGTGCGAGGTTTTCGGAGATTGCTGCTGCTGCTGACATGTCTGCTAGGGTCAGCACGACAGAGCGGCAGGAGCGAGACAACAAGGAGGCGGGGGCGTCTTCGGCCGAATTTTTTTCACCATAGCCTCCGGGGAAAAGATATATATAACCATGGATAGAGATTTCACGTTGTAGAGCGCCTCTACATCGCTCTACATCGGACTCACATCGTCACGCGCCGGATGTAGAGCTCTACAGCTCTACAAGAGCTCTACAGCGCTCTCCAGCTCTACAGCTCTACAGCGCTCTTCACTCTACATCCTCTACACCCTCCCTCAGGAAGCGACAAGGGAGAGCACGACGAGAAGGGGGCGACCGCGAGGTGGCACGAAGGTTGCAGCGAGAATCGGAGAGAGAATGCCAAGAGAGATAGGAAGAGGCGGACGCCCAAGGGTGGAGAGGCTCTACAGCAAAACCGCCGGGAAGGCAGTGACTCAAAGAGGTCAAGCCGCGCTAATGGGGTGTCTCCGAGCTTACTGGAGCTCTGATGGACGGCCCTGACTATCCCTGACACACAGATAGTCACTCTGACGGCACACAACACCCTATAACTGCGTCATGACCAGCCTGCCATGCGTCGCCGGTGCCGCATTCATCGCTGTGCTTCTTTAGCAGGCGGTGGACTGTCGGCTGCGAGGACGGTCGCATTTGCGCGAGGCGAGGCGAGCATTGCTGCGCGTTGCATGCGCCATGCCTCGCGCCAGCGCGTGCGGGAGCTCCTGGCTGAGCGTTGAGTCCAGGTGAGTTGCGCTGGCCACGATCGCTACGCCGAGCCGAGCTGACGCGCCGAGGCGCCGGCCAGTCGCAGCTGTGAGGCATGCCACAGCAGCAGAGGCACCTGCCACTCATTGGGCGGGTAGACAGAAGGCCAGGGCAGCACTGGCAAGTGCAACGCGCCTCATGTCGGAGAGCGACCGCGTGCCTCGTTCGCCGCTTATGATATAGAGTTTGTTGTAGAGATTTCACGTTGTAGAGCGCCTCTACATCGCTCTACAACGCAGGCGCCTCGTCACGCGGCGGATGTAGAGCTCTACAGCTCTACAGCGCTCCAGAGCGCTCTACATCTCTTTGTTTGTTCATCTCTACAGCTCTACAGCGCTCTACACTCTGCATCCTCTACACCCTCCCTCAGTCAGCACGAACGCTGGCTGGCGAGTAGAGCTAGGTTCTCGAGGTTGTCGAGGTGGATATCCTTTGGCCGCGTTGGGTAGCGAGGATTGGTGTGACGCGGTCCAGGAACGCGTGTTTTCTGACGGCCGACCGTCAGTACACGGAGTTGCCCCTTCTCACACGCTCGCACTCTCGAGGTCTCTTGGAGCGGAGCCCCGGCGAGACCTCGAAAGAATCCAATGGGTCCCTCAGGGGTACCCTGGTGGGCGGGGCTCGCGAAAAGCAGAAACCACGGTCGGCGCAGCCAACTGGCAGGGTTCCAACTTTTTGCGGGGTATGGTATGGTACCCTCGCGGCCCAAAGGGTGGGGGGGTATGGTCCTGACCGCCCATCCCCGGTCTCCGGGAGGCTGGGTCTGTCAGCAGGCGGGGGGGGTATGGTCTCGAGGTGGGTTGCGCGAGAGTACCATACCATACCCCGCAAAAAGTCCGAACCCAGGCGCCATACACGTGTGTGTATGTGGCGCGGAGGCAAGGGCAAGGGCGGTGGCAAGGGCAAGGGCGGCGGCAAGGGCTACGGCTACCGCGGCGGCGGCTACCGCGGCGGCGGCGGACGCGCGCCGGCGGCGCCAATGTCGTGGAAGCGCAAGGCTGCAGACGACAAGGACGCGCTGCCGGCGCTCTCCCACCGAGCAGAGCTGCTCACAGCCCTGCGCAACCACGGTGTCGCGGTCGTGTCGGGTGACACGGGCTGCGGCAAGTCGACGCAGGTGCCGCAGTTTCTGCTCGACGCGTCAACAGCCAATCGCATCGTCGTCACGCAGCCGCGGCGGCTGGCGGCGCGCGCGCTGGCCGAGCGGGTGGCGTCGGAGCGCGGCTCGACGCTGGGTCGGACGGTGGGGTACGCCGTCTCGCGCGACAAGGCGACCACGCTCGGCACGACGCGGCTCACCTTTATGACCGTCGGCCTGCTGCTGCAGCTGCTCATCTTCAAGCGGGACGAGGTGGAGGCGGCCTTCACGCACATCGTCGTGGACGAGGCGCACGAGCGGGACGTCGACCTCGATCTCCTCCTCCTCCTCCTCAAGCGGCGCATGAAGGCCCAGGCAAACAAACTCCGCGCCGCTCGCGCCTCTGCCGCCGCCGCCGCCGACACCGCCGCCGAGCCTCCTGCGGCGGCCTCTGGCGCCGAGGCGGGCGGCGAGGAGGCGGGCGGCGAGGAGGCGGGCGAGGAGGGCGCGGGCGAGGAGGGCGTGGGGCAGCCGCTCAAGCGGCCGCGCCTCGACCCCGCGGCCGCTGCCTCTGAGGGCGGGGCGAAGCGCGGGGCGAAGGGCGAGGCTCCGGCCGACGGGCTGCGGCTGGTGGTGATGAGCGCGACGATCGACGCGTCCGCGTTCGCAGAGTACTACCGCGGCTGCTCGCTCGCGCCCCCTGCAGCCGACGCCGCCTCCTCCGCCTCCGGCGCCTCCTCGCTCGCCCCGGTGGTCCGGATCGGGTCGCGCGCCCACCAGGCTCCGCACCTCGCCTCCGCACTGCTCCGCACCGCTTCGCCCCTCGGCAGCACCTCGGTTTCACCGCGCCGCTGCGCCTCGAGAGGGCGAGGGGCCTCGAGCGGGCGAGGGGCGCGTGCTCACGGGTCTCGCCGCGTGGCCTCAGGTGGCCTGCTACTCGCTCGACGACCTCGTCGCCGCGATGCCCGAGGCACTCCTCGCCGCCCACCCGCCCAGGACGCGTCCCCACCCGCCCAGGACGTGCCCAGGACGCGTCCGTGGGTCCGCACCGCAGGCGCCAAAGGTTGTCGTCGACGACGGGGCGGGCGGAGCCGGCAGGGCAGCCGCCTCTGCCAACGCCGCGTCGGGCGCCGCCGCGCCGCCGCCCCGCGACGAGAAGGCACGCGCGGCCAAGCTCGACCCGTCCACGTACCCGATGGCGAGACATAGCCGAGACACAGCCGAGACACAGCGCAGACATGGCCGCGGCGTGGCCCAGAGATGGCGAGATGGGGTGCGGACCGTCCACTGTACCCGATGGCGAAGGGGCGGGCTGTGCGGGGCGGAGGCCTGCAGGAGCGAGGCTTGCTGGCGCGAGTGTAGGTCGACTACCTCCTCGCGGCGCACGCGGAGCGGAAGCTGCTCGCCACGCTGCCAAACGCGCCTCGCCGGACGCCGCCGCGTCCCTCCTCCTCGCCGAGATTGGCCCGAGATCGCCTCCTCGGGAGCCGGGCGTAGGCTCCCGCGGCGGTCCCGCACGGCGGCGGCGTCCTCGTCTTCCTGCCCGGCTACTCGGAGATCCAGGAGTGCCACAAGGCCCTCAAGCGGGGCGTGCTCGCCACCGCCGCCGGCTCGCGCCTCCTCGTCCTCCAGCTGCACGCGCTGCTCGACGACGCCGCGCAGTCGCAGGCGCTCGCGCCGCCGCCCGCCGGCGCCATCAAGGTGCTCCTCGCCGCCGCCCCCCCTCGGCGAAGCTAGGCGGGTCCGAGCGAGCATCTCGGCGCGATTTCGGAGGCACCTCGGCGGCGGTCACGATCTCGGCGAGATCTCGCGCGCTGGCCCCTGCCGTCCAAGGTGATCCTCGCCACAAACATCGCCGAGTCGGCCCTGACCGTGCCGGACGTCTCAATCATCATCGACGCGGGGCTCGAGAAGCTGCCCTACTTCGACGCGCGCGCAAACACGGACACGCTGCTGCTGCGCCGCTGCGCGCGCGCGTCGGCGGTGCAGCGCGCCGGCCGGCCGCGGTGAGGAATGAGGAGGTGTGATGACTAAGGTATTGAGTGTTAGCGAATAGGTGCAGCGCGCCGGCCGGGCCGGCCGCGTCGCGCCCGGCGTGTGCCTACGCCTCTACCCCGCCGCCTTCCTCAAGGACACGGCCGTCATGCCCGCCTTCACGCCCGCCGAGATCGAGCGCACCTCGCTGCTCAACCTGGTCCTCAAGGTCAAGACCATCGCGCCGGACGCGCCGCCCGCCGCCCTCCTCGACGAGGCCATCCAGCCGCCGACGACGGCGCGCGTCGCCGCCGCCGTCGACGCGCTCGGCGCCCTCGGCGCCCTCGCCACCGCCGCCGACGGCGGAAGGCCGCCCTCCGCTGCCGCCGGCAGCCTCTCCGAGGGCGGTGCGTGCGCGCGCGTCACGACGCTCGGCCGGCTCGTCGCGTCGCTGCCCGTCTCGGTGCCGATGGGGCGGCTGCTCGTTCTGGGGGAGGCCTTCGGGTGCGGGCGGCAGGCCGCGCTGCTCGCAGCCCTGCTCACGCTGCCCGACCCGTTCCTCCAGCCCTACACGCGCGCCGCCGCCGCCCCCGCGGCCGAGCCGGCCACCGACGGCGCGGCGGAGGCGGCGGCGGCGGCGGAGGACGTGGGGTTCTTCAAGCCGCGGCTGGTGCACTTCACCGCACGCGGCTGCTCCGACCCGCTCGCCGCCCTCGCCCTCTTCGATGAGTGGCAGCGCGTCCTGTCGACGGGCGGGCCTCCCGCCGCGGCGCAGTACGCGCAGGCACCGCGCGCCTCGGCCACGCTTCCGCCACACCTCGGCCACTCCTCGGCCGCACACTTGCGCTCCAGCTCGGCCGCACCGACGCTGCCTCTGCGTGCAGGCGCAGCGCGCCTCGTACAAGCGCCTCTCCGAGATCGAGTACTTGTCGCGCGAGCTCTCCTCGCGGCTGAAGCGCGAGCGCCTCGAGAGCGGCTTGTCGCTGCCGCCGCCGGGCACTTCCGCCGCCGACGGCGGCCCGAACCTGCTCACCCTGCAGGCGTCGGAGACTCCACGAGATCCACCCGAAATTGACGCGAGATCGAACTCCCACCTCACCCCGC